CCGCTCCCCTCCCCAAAGCCCCAGCCCTCGCCTTCTCCTTACCCAGTAGTGCTTGCCTCAAGCATCCTCTGCTTTAAAAGCCTTTCCTGGCGTAGCTACCGTGGCTGCTTCCTCGGCAGTGCGCACTCCCTGGGTTCCCTTTGTGTCGCTCAGATGCGTGATTGCCACGTGTCCTGTGTCTCCTCCGCCTCTCCTAGCTGGCAGTTCCACCTCTAACTTACCTTCCCAGGCCCGGCATTTTGCAGACTGCCAGGTACACAGTCGGTGCATACTTTGTGTCTGGAGACCACTTGGACCTGCCTGCCCTGGGAAGGGCTGCTGGGCACCCGCAGCAACAGGTGGAGTTGAGCCAGAGCCCCTTGATGGCCCCTCCAGGGCTGTGGCAGTAATACCTGCATTGGTGACCAGCTGTCTGCGCCCTCAGGAGGCAGCTCCTGGAGCAGCTCTGACACCCCCCCTGTTGGTTGAGTAAGCCAGGCATGAGCCGTGCAGGAGCGTTCCAGTAACTGCACACTGGAAGGGCTGCTGCCGAAACAATGCTGGGCTGTGGAGCCCCATGAGTCTCCTTTGGCTGAGGCCCGGCCATTGGGATCCTGGTAATTATGCAGGCAGAGAAAATTCTCCCTGAAGGACCCATAGTTGACAGTGAGAGAAAAGACTCCTAAGTGCCTTTTTGCAAGACAAGTTTGATTTTAGGTGGTTAAGCCTCCCAGCATGGTCGCAAAGGGGAGCGTAGTTTTGGAACTTGAGGCATTTCGCACATTATCCCGGTGTTGCATGCTTCTTGGCCGAGAGCCCAGGGAGGCAGGGGGCTCCTGGCTTACCTAAACCCGCGGCCCCTTTGGCCTCGTAAGTGAGGATGATGGTGTGAGGCAGGAGCCAGAGGGTCCGAGGGCTATGGTGCTCTGTCCGTGGAAGGCTGGCTCCCGGGCGCCTCCTTTGCATGACTTTTCCATTCCGTTGGTGGGAGAAGGAGCAAGGGCAGAGTGGCTTCAGCTACCTTGAGCTCTTGCCTAGGTGCGCTGTCTGTTCAGGGAGGGGTCAGGGTCTGGGATTCTCCTGTGCCGGGGCCTCTTGATTGATTCTGCAGGGCATTACCCTGGGCCGGGTATGGTTTCACGCACATTGCAATTGAATCTTTACAGTGAAGCTGTGAGGGAGGAACAGTTATTACCCCCATTTCACAGATGAGGAAACAAAGGCAAAGGGAGGTGAAGCCACTTGCCCAAGGACACACAGGCAGGAAGGAGCTGAGCTGGAATTCAAGCCCAGGCCACCTGGCGCCGGGGGCCTTGTTCTGACCACAGTGCCCCATTGCCCAGGGGCAGAGGCGACCTGCAAGCCGGGCCTGGCCCACTGATGTGTTTGTTCAGGCCCACAGTGGTTTTCTGTCTTTATTTTTCACTGAGCTAGCTGTCAGCACTAAAGGTCAGGAGATGGCACGTAACAGTCTCGTTTCAGCTCTCCTTGACAAGTCCACAGCTCTGAGGGTTCCAGCCCAGACCCTGTGGGAGCCATCACCTGGAGGGGAAGGAGAATGTCCAAGGCCACCCTGCTCAGGAGAAGCTGCCCCCTGAGTCCAGGCCTGTCCTGTCCCTGCAGGGCCTGGCCCCTGGAGCTGTTTGCTGTGTCCCCTGCCAAACAGGGGTCTGGATTACTCCCTAGCAGTGAGACCCAGCCCTGCCTCTCCGCTCTGTGCTCTCCTGCCGCCTCATTCCTCCTCCAGGCCTCCCTGGCCTGTCCGTTCCTACTATTTCAGACTCAGCAAAGTCGGCAAGCTTTGGCTGCTGGAACAGGCCCTCCGTGAGCTGGTCTCGCTGGAATTCCCTGCCTCCTGGTCTTTACGACGTCTATGGGTTAACAGAGTAGGTGTTGAGTCTTTGATGAATTTATTTTAGTGCCTTAAGAGTTCACAATACCCAGGATTATTTCTAGTCTTCCAGTATTTGCAGGAGACATGCGTGATGTACCGGCACATATCAGCCTCTGTTAGTACGTTATTTGTTGGTGGCATCAGTGTGCCTGTGTCCTGGAGATGGGTGCCCTGTCATGGTGAGCTTGGTGCCGCTGCTCGGTGAGAGGATCCTGAAACCCGGATGTAAATGCAACTCCCACAGAAGTCCAGAAGTTCTGGTTCCTACTTCCAAGTACTTTATTTTTGCTTTCAGTTTTACTTCCCCTGAAGCTTTCTTGAAAATGGTGAGGAGTAATAATGTAATGCACAAACCAAGTAATAGGGCTACAGAACAGGCTGTGGCTGCGTTCCAGTCTCCTCTGGCTGTGGCAGAAGCTTTACCAACCAGAACGCTGTGGAGAATGAAATCTCCTCATCCAAGTTTTGCTCCCCTTTGCCCCGGGTCCTGACTGGCTAGGGTACTGCTGGAAAGTTCCTGTACAGGGACTTGAGGAGAATAGAGATGGCACCATTCTTACCCAAAGACTTAATAAAAAAATGTAAAATTATGGCTCTCTAAAAATAATTTAAAAGATAGTGTTTATATGAGGTTGGAGAAGGCCATGGAAGTTTCTGTGGGGGAGTGGGGGATGGGCAGCAAAAGTTAAATTTTGCTATATATAGCTTTGGATTGTTTCACCTGTTACAAATTTTTATTACTTTGATCACTAAAATATGTAATGAAATTTAGTGTAATTACCTTAGGAAGTTTTAGTGAAGCTGTGTTAGAATGACACTCCCACAGAATACTCTCAGAAATGTTTTATGGACAGGGCATCTCAGGGTTCATCTCCCCTGGCCCTCCAGGAGGGAATGCACGTTTGTCAAGACCACTGGTGACGCAGAAGGAGTCTCTGGGTCCACCGCAGACACCACTGGGTGTCTCTGAAGAAGACGGTGGTCCATCAAGAAATGTGGCTTTGTTCTCCCCGGCAGTGCTGTAGGGCCACGCGGGCCTAGGAGGATGGTCTTCAAGGAGAATGTTCAAGAGAAGCCCAAGCCCTCAGTCACTTTGAGACCTCTGCAGGCACAGGGGCTGCCAGGACTTCAGCAGGGAGTGCTTTGGGGTTCCCAGGGCTCGAGAGGAGTAGACTAGCCTGTCCAGTAGAAATACAACGTGAGCCACTCGTGTGAGCCACGTATGTAATTTTAAACTTTCCTAGTAGCCATGTTAAAAAAGGCAAACAAAAAACAAATGGAATTAATTTGAATAGTACATTTTATTTAACCCAGTTTATCCAAAATAGTCCTTTCAACATGCAATCAATATAAAAAATTATTACAGATATTTTACATTCTTTTTTGTTCATACTAAGTCTTCAGAATCTGGTGTGTACCTGCACTTGTGGCACACCTCAGTTCACACTAGCCACGTTTCAGGTGCCCAGTAGCCACACGTGGCTGGCGGCCAGCATATTGGACAGCATAGGAGTAGACCTTTCAGAGTCAGGAGAGGAAAATGTCTGTGCCGCAACCGGCTCAGAGAGGCTGGCCTGCCCTGTCCAGCTCCAACCGTGTCTTTGAAACGAGTAGACCTCTCTCTTCCAGAAAACACTGGCAGTAAACATCTGTCTTACAGGCTGAGGGGGAAAAGCAGAAAGCAAATAAACCAAAATGCTGACAGTGGGGTTTTCTCCCAGTAGTGAGCTCGAGAGTGGTTTTTATTTTATTTTGGCTTAACTGTACTGAGAATTTTTCCTACTGTGTATAAATTTACCATTAAAATTATTTTATATTATATACATATTTCAGTGAAAAGAAAGAAGGCTGAAGGGGACACCCCCTGTACCCATTTTCATGACACCCTTGCGCTCTTCAGCCTTTAGTGTCAGTGAGGTTATTTGTAATCTCCCAAGCTTCACTGAGGTAAGAGGTTCTAAAATGAATGTGCTCATAGCAACCAGCTCGCCCACATCCCACGTTCCCCCTATTAAGGTATCATGCTAAATGCTTTGACTTGTGATGAAAATACTGTGACTAGGAAGTGAAAATATTGTGACAGGCCAGAGAATTTAGGGTTGCCATGGAAACCTTCCCATTCACTGTCCCCGGAGAGGGACGGACAGCTGGAGGTGCTGCTGCAGGCCGGCCTGCCTCTTTGTTTCGGCTCATTTTTGACCCCGTCATTCAGCTGTGGGGCGGATTTGGGCTTCAACGTAAGGCGTTGCCGGGACATTTCAGGCGGGGCTTCTGTCCGCCGGACGGGGCACCTCAGTTCACCCTTCCATGCCTTCAGGGCTGAAGGACAGCCTGCGATGAGAGGGAAACTTTGGAGGGGGCATCAGGAGTGTTTCAGAAGTGGCAGTTGGTTGTTGGCAAATGGCTCTTTGTCCTTCAGGAGGTCACTAGTGGACGGACAAGTGGGCAGGCCCATCCTGGAAGAACCCAGCCCAGCCTTCCCTCTCACAAAACCTGCCTCAAGCTTCATCCAGGGAGAGCTGGAAATAGAGTGTTTGAACCTGGATATGTGGGAAGCAGCCTTCTTTTCCCTGGACCACAGAGAAGCAGGCGTGAAGACACAGGCCTTTTGCTTCCATCCCTCTCGCCTGACTGCGGGGATGCAGCTGAGGGGTTCTGTGTTGTTGGCGAGTGATGGGCTCGCCAGTCAGTCAGGACCCTCAGGGCCAAAGGGCTTAGTCACAGCAGTGGGATGGGGGTGAACCCTGCTGGGCCATGCAGGGCAAGAACTGGACCAAACGGTTTGCTGGAAAAAGAAGGAAGAACAAAAGCACCTTTGGGAAGAGTATGCTTTGCTTAATTCTGCTCATTTTGATGATAAAAAGCAGGGAGGCATCTCCCCCAACCCAGGAAAGCTCAGCCTTTCTTTACTCGGGGACCTTCCCCGTTGGCTGTCTCTGGGCAGTTGGGAGGGTTGTGCAGGAACCTGTACCTCAGTCCATTTCTCAGTGCTCTGAGAGAGTTCCAGAGCCGCCGGGCAGCTGGACAGAGTCCTCGGCTCTGACCGGCCCCTGCTGCTTCCGGGTGCGATGGGCTTGGTTGCTGGTGTCGGGGTGTAAATCCCTGCTCCCGCCCTCTCGCTGCACAGGGCCCCCGGACTCCGACAGCCCTCTCTACCTGCCCTACAAGACCCTGGTCTCCACGGTCGGAAGCATGGTGTTCAATGAGGGCGAGGCCCAGCGGCTCATCGAGATCCTGTCCGAGAAGGCTGGCGTCATTCAGGACACCTGGCATAAGGTGGGCCCACCCTCCCCTTGGCCACATTTAGTGGCCACTGCAGTTGGCCAGGGTGGTTTTGCCCCTCCCTCCTTTCCCTCTCAGGGGCTGGCGAGTTGCAGTGGTTACCTGGTCCTGGGTCCCCAGCCTCCACTGGGCGATACCCCTCGGGCTGACCACACCCGGCTTGCCAAGCTGCACAGTGTTCATGACGCAGCCTCCACTTACCTCTCTTGGCAGAACCCTGCACCCCGTCCCAGGCACAGGCTACACGAATCACTCTGCAAATGCTGTGGTTTCTGCCACAGCCCAACTATGGCCCAGCCACTGAAACAGGAGGCTGTTAAAAGCCAAGGCACAGCTCTGTGTTACAGGGGGTTTGGGGTGGGACAGAGGAGCTGGGGCCCAGCTGGTTTGTGGCCAGGACTTGGGGTGCAGGAAGTGGGGTGTACAGACACACCGTGTGAGGGAATCCTGTGACAGGCCCAGAAGTGTCTTTCTCCAAGTTCCCTCCTGCGGCTGGGGGCCAGTTCAGAGGCTGGCACCCACCCTCTGGTGCTTGTGGTGAATGAGCTGTCCCCAGGAGATGCTGCATGGACATGTTTGTTTGTTCCTTAATCAGAGTTGGAATTGTAGGTAATTTTGCTGGAGAATTTTGTGGCACCTTAGTGGTTAGAGATGTTGAGGTATCCTGAGAGCCAGGCCGGTGGCCCCTGCCCTGAGGCCAGTGGAGGTTACTCCCCTCCTGGCCCTCGCTGAGGTGTGGTGTGTGTCACACAGTCGCAGGAGATTGTCGCTCAGTGAGTATTTGGGGGTGATCTCCTGGGCGTGAATGGCTGGTGGAGGTCAGGAAGATGACACTTCCTCCCAGAGAAGCCCAGACTCAGCTTGGGCCACAGTCCCCAGAACACACCTCCCCTCCCACAGCCTCTACACCTCAGCTGGCAGCCTGCAGGCTGCACACAGTGGCTAAGGGGTGGGCACCAAGCCAGAAACAATGGCCAACTGCCCCTCAGCGGGGCAGGAAGAGGCCCTGGCCACCATCGACCCGAGTTAGTGGGAAACACCACAGTCCTGAAAACTATACCAGAGATCAAAGCCTGTGTCCCAAACAGCTCCTGTGCACACCTGCCTGGAGGCCCTGGCAGACTGGGTGGCTGAGGCAAGGGTGCCTTTCCCCCGGAAGGGTCTGGAGTCAGGATGGAACCCACTCCTCCTGAAGCCCCTGCTCCCACTTCAGCAGGCCGCTGCTCTTGTTGTGGGTCAGGGTCTGATTGCTGGGGTGGGGGACAAACCAAGTGTCTGTCTGTCCCCTCTAAGATGGCTCTGTGGACATTTCTAGGCCACTCAGAAGGGTGACCCTGTGGCAATTCTGAAACGCCAGCTGGAAGAGAAGGAAAAGCTGCTGGCCACAGAGCAGGAAGATGCAGCTGTCGCCAAGAGCAAACTGAGGGAACTCAATAAGGTACGCCGAGCACTCACCCTGTCCTGAGAACCCCCTGTCCTGAGAGCCCCGGGAGCGGCCAGCACTGCTCCTGCATCGTGGGCTTGCTTTCCCACCACGGCTGCTTGGGTCTGCCGGCAGGTAACTACCTCTCAGACCAGCGAGCGTGCGATGGCGTGAGGGCCGTCGCTGTCGGAGAGCCTAACGGCCAGCGGCTCGCCTGGAGCAGAACCTGTGTAGCTCGGAGGGGTGGGGTCCCCTCTCAGACCGTCAGAATGCATGGATGTTGGGGAGGGGGTGGGGCCCTCAGTTGTGAGGGAGATGGACCAAAACTTTACTGGCTGCTCCCACAGTGGTGGGCCATCTTTTTAGGGTATGTGCTCTGAAAGGAGGATGCGCACAGTGCATCCAAGGTTGTTTTCTTGAGAACTGGAGCAAAAACTCATGGGGAGGGGGTGGAGGGGCTGCTCTTCGCCCTTTTCTGATGTCAGTGGAGCGGTCCTGCAGGGAAACGCCTCTCGCGCCATGTACCATTTGTACTCGGTGAATGACAGTTGGCAATGGATCCGTGCTGCGGTGACGGGCTGGGGGCCTCATTCAGGATGAGTCAGGACACGTGGCAGGAGGGGCCACTGTACCTCTGCCGGAACTCACTGGGGTTTCTCCCTTCCGCAGAGTAAGTCTGGTTCCCCAGCCCCATGGGACTGTTCACACCCAGTGTGAAAGCTGTCTTTTCCCAGCAAAATGCTGTAGGTTGCTCTCACCCTCTCCCTGCTTACCTGCCTCCTCCATCAAGGCAGCGGGTACAGGGAGATGACCTGGGCCTTGGAATGTCCCACACCATCTGGGCTGCGGCCCTTCTTCTGGGCATCTCCATTTGTTCATTCTGGAAGATTGGCAATGCGGCACCCTGAGTTTCTGTCCTAAATTCGAGGGACGTGGCTCTGAGCCAGACAGGAAAGTTCATTTGGTGGGGGCCAGCGGGAGCAGGTGACAAGCCTTTGAGTGGCTGTGCTTGGTTAATGCTCTGTCCAGGAGAAGAAAAGAAAAAGGCAGGTCTCTGTGGCTTTCCCTAGAGCTTGGTAGCCTTCTGACTGCAGGCCTCCTCATCTCTCTCTAGGCTGTCCACACGTGGCCTTCATGTGAGCCTGTCTTGGGTTGTTGGTTAGATGCAGGGTGGCTGGAGCCCCTGGCCCTGCCCCCAAGAGCTGATTGTGCACATGTCTTCCTGCCCTGGCTGGGCCTGTGCCATCGGCTGGGAGCATTTACACCACAGAAATGGGCCAGCAGTATAAGTCAGAGTCCTCGCACCCCCAAGAGCCAGCCAACCAGCACGCCACTGGTTAAGAGTCTGTGGTTTCAGGGAGCCATTCTTCCGTACCTTCTTTCTGGACAAACTGAAAAATCCCTGTGAAAATGTGTTGACCCCCAAAATAAAGCTCAAGTGAGAGGAAACGGGAGTGAGTGTTCCCGTGGCTGGTTGGCTGTGGGGTTGCCCGGCTAGCTCCTTGTGCCTGCCCCCTTGAAGTCCCCTTAGAATGGGCTGGCGGTGTGGGAGTGAGTAGGAGCACCCTCTGACAGTGACAGTGGCCTGTCCCTTCCCCATCGCTGGGGTCTCTGGCCACTGTGGGCAGGCCAGCAGGTGCAAGGTGGGGTGAACCCTGTGGAAGGAGGCCCTTTAGATGCTGCCCCTCTTGGCGGACGCTTACTGCTCTCCCTCAGTGGTGGCTGCCTGACAAGATTTCCAAAACCACAATGGCAGCTAGCCCGCAGACACCCTCCTCAGTCCAGATGCAATTCCAGCCTCCCCTGGTGGACTGTCCCCCGGCTGTGAGCTGCAGGGGCCTGTGAGACACGCAGGGCTGCAGCCCTGGGTTTTTATTACCCAGCTTGCCCTCCAGGGCTCCAGGCCTTGGCTCTGAGGCGAGGAGAAGGCTGACGCGTCCAGCCAGGGCCCTCCCTCCCCTGACCACATCCTCTTCCCTGCAGCCCGAGGAGGTCCTCCTGGGCTCTCAAGTGCTCGTCTGGTCCTGGGAGGGCCTTCTTTAAGCTCTGCTAGTGGCTCCTAAACTTTAGACCCGAGTCTGCACCCCTGAGCACACCTCTGGCCCCCACCCCGTCTGCTCCCCAACGTGCTGCACCCATCATTCCTCCTCTGGGCCTCTCCTCCTACTCTTCCGTTAGTGTCAAATGCTCTTCCCTACTTGCTGGCTGGAAATTTTCTCCTTAACCTTAAAGACTCAATTCGATCTCTCTCCTTCGAGAAGCCTTCTGGAGCCCCCATTTTCCTGTCCCAGCACAGAGGTCATCGTTGCAATTGTACGTCATTGTATCTGTCCCCTGTGACTCTGGCCACCTTGCTTGGCTTGGCTAGAGGAATCCTAGGATTCTGAGCTCATAGGAAAAAAGAAGCCATGGAGGGCTAAACAAATGCCCCGAGGAAAGCTAGCCTTTCTCTGCCTTTGAAAGAAGCCCAGAGGCAAAAGGAAAGGAAGTCCCATTGAATTCTGGTGCCCTTGACCCTGTCCCCAGGGATCAGGACCTTTGCGCCCTGAGCCCCAGTGGATGCCCAGAACCGTAGGAGGCCTGCCTGGGTGGGGGAAGGCTGTCCCCAGACATATGCTCAGCGCCAGCCTCTGGGTTTCAGGCGTGGCGAGCAGAGGCAGGCAGGGGAGCCCCACACATGGCAGCAGCACCCACTGCTGGTGTGGCTGTGCGCACGCAGGACCTCTCTGAGCTTTGGTCTCTTCTCCTGAGGCTGGACCGTGTACTTCAAGGGGCCGTTGTCTGGGAAACCCAGCAAAGAGAGTGGCCTCCCCACATTGCTGGTGTGTGGAGGCTCTAGCCATCCCCACCACGCTCGTTCTGCTGGTGGGGCATCCGTGTTAGGGGAAGTGCGGGGAGCCCCGAGTCTCTGCTAAGTTGCCCTCTCCTGCTTCCTTAGAGGTGCCCAGGCCAGTCAGAGGGGCAGGACCCTTGTGGGCTCCCACAGTCCCAGGTTCTAGCCCCACTTCTGCCACTTACAGCTGCTCCTCAGCCTTGGACAACATATCCTCCCGAAGGCTCAGTGAGCTCAGCTTTAAACTGGGGATCATGATCTTCATGTTACTGAGAGAATCAAGCGAGACACTTGCTTGTCCCAGAGTGGGCACACGATGTTAGCCACCCCTCCCGTTTCTGTAGATAATCAATGAAGCTTCCTTAGCGTGGACTTCATGCTCCTGTGGGCTCTCACCCTGGGCAGAGCCAGGAAGATGATTGTCTTTGAAAAGTGGAGCCAGTTCCGCCAGGCACATGGAGCAGCCCTGGTACCCAGTGGCCACCCTGATTCACCCAGCCCCTCCCCAGCCTCCAGTTCTCTCCCATCTCAGGAAGGAGGGACACTTGCCCTTCAGGATGGGCCTCGCTGGCAGCCCTGGCCTGGAGAGGAAGAGAATTTCCCACTTCTCTGGTCCACTGCCCAGGACAGGGAAGGGACAGGGCCGTGAATCTCATGGGACACTTGCACCCCGGTCACCCAGGCCAGCTGTGCCCAAGTAGCTGCCAGTCTGGCTGGAGGCCCACTGGACAGGGAGCACCCCCACCTCAGGGGCCCGTTGCACCAACCCTTCCTCGCACTGTCACCCCCTGCTTCCCCGTGGCTGCCATCCACTGCCTTTCCTTCTGGGACGACACGGACCCCAGCCAGCTCCTCTCCCTTGGCCAGCCCTCCCCACGCTGGGCTCTGCCCTGCTGGAGGCTCTGGGTCCCAGGCCCAGCATCTCATGTTCATCGTGGGCTTCTGACACTGACAGGACCAGACGTTCCCTGGGCTGGGGTGGAGGACCGAGCAGCTTCCCACAGAGACCCAGGGCCTCCAGGAGTGCGGCTGATCCCCCAGCCATGGTGGGATGGGCAGCTCTCCGTGTCCCTACCCCAGCCATCAAGGCTTGCTGCCCTCTCGGTCCTGACAGAGGCGCTCAAGTAGAGTGGGTATTCCAGGGCCTGGATGTTGGAGACTGAGCCAAGCTGGGGTGTTGTAATCCCTGCAGGCTGAGCCGGTGTCTCTAGAGAGCCCGAGGACAGCGCGCTGTGTTTACACAGCTCCTGCCTGTGTCCACCCCGTCCTCTGTGGCCAGGTCTGACAGCCAGCCCTCCACCTGTCAGGCCAGCAGGATTTTGAGGGATCCCTCGTCTACTGCTTGTTCTCTGCTGTGGCTGGTTCGGGTCTGAGAACTCAGGAGGAGGGCTCTCGGGGCTCTGCAGGTGACACTCTGAGTTGTGATGGTCTTGGTCCCATCTGATAAGCTCCTGCCCTGCCTGCCTAACCGCCCCCTCTGCCCTCTGCTTCCTCCCAGGAGCTGGCAGCAGAAAAGGCCAAGGCAGCAGCCGGGGAGGCCAAGGTGAAAAAGCAGCTCGTGGCCCGGGAGCAGGAGATCACGGCCGTGCAGGCGCGCATGCAGGCCAGCTACCGGGAGCACGTGAAGGAGGTGCAGCAGCTGCAGGGCAAGGTGGGCCGTGGCTGCGGGGGCATGGGGCGGGGCAGGGAGGGCTGGAGCAGTCCCCACAGGGCGGGGGAGGATCTGGGGGGGGGGGGTCTTGAGGATCTGGTTTGTTTTTGGAAGGTTTGTTTTTGTTTGTTTCATCTGGCCAGATGGTGACAGCAGCCTACCATGTGTGTGTTCAATGTTAATAACCAGGAAGACGTAAAATACATTTTAAAGAACACTTTTTGAAAACAGCCTGGTCCCCAGTGGCCAGCCCTGTGTCCCATCTCGCATCAAGTTCTCAGCCTCCACATGACCCTGGAGTAATGCTGGGTCTGCCTTCTCCACTCAAGGTTGGGAGGATCCCATAAAACAAGAGGGTTTTATATACAGCTGAAAACTGTGCAGCTGTGGCCTGGGGCTCGAGGCCGGTGAGTGCCTGTCCAGCCTGGCCTGTGCAGTCAGAGTCCTGACCTTACCTCCGCCAACCTGCGCTCTGCTCCTGGTGGGCCACGGCGTCCTCCCCACTGCACATCTTGGGATGTGCCACTGGAGGTCAGAGGACGGGAACAAGGCTTCCTCAGGGTAATTACAGGTTGTGGCTTGTGGCCGTATGCTTTGTCTCAGGACAGTAACCCAGGGTGGCCTCAGAGACACAGTGCATGGAGCACACCTGGGGCTTTGGCCTGAGCCTTTGGCCACCCGGAGAGCATAAGCCATGAGGCAGAGGAGAGAGAAGGGGCGTTGTGGCTGGTGGTCACTCTCGGCCCCAAGCCCCTGACGCTGGAGCTGTCAGTTTCTGGCCCCTTGTTCTCAGGGGTCCTCCAATGTCATGTGGAGAAGATGGAGCTGTCAGGGCTTTTGTCTGTGGGCTGTGTCCTCGCTGACCTTGCCCCAGAAGTTGGCTCTTTTTGTAAGGCCCAGTGGCACTCTGATGCCCCATCAACGACTTTTCAGATCCGGACTCTTCAGGAGCAGCTGGAGAACGGCCCCAACACGCAGCTGGCCCGTCTGCAGCAGGAGAACTCCATCCTGAGGGACGCCTTGAACCAGGCCACGAGCCAGGTGGAGAGCAAGTAAGCTCAGCGCTCCGGGTCAGACACTGACGGTGCATCCCGGGGGTCTCCAGAGTGGGGAGGGTCCCCAAACCTCGCGAGGCTGCAGCGGGTACCCTCCAGTTTCACACGGAGTCTAGGGCTGGCTGTGCTTCTGCACGCCCCCATTCAGGGCTCCGTCCTGATCCTCCATCTCTTGTCTGGGTCTGAGCGGCTGAGCCTTCTGACGTGGGGCCCACGTGCTCTCAGGCGGTCAGGCCCCAGGGAGAGCGAGTGAGCTCCAGCTTGCCCGTGTCCCATGGCCATGTGATCAGTGCCCCTCAGTCCTGGCTGGTGCCGGCGTCTTGCTTTCCTGGAAGAGCAGATTCTTTTTCCATGTCTGTCTTCACAACATGCCGACGTGAGGCTTTTAAAAACTCCTGATTGTGGCCCAGAGTATCAAGGCCGAGCAGATTGTTCAAGACAAGAGTCACATGTAGAGCGGGGCTGCTGTGGGCCTGAGTGCCTGGATTCTGCACTGGGGATGGGTTCTCCTGTGCTGGAGGAGACAGTGGCTTCTGCTGCACTGGTAGTGAGTGTCGTCTCAGCACACAGGCTGGCAGCCTGTGGAGTTCTTGTTGTCAGTATTGCCTCTCGGGTGCTAAGTGCTGGGACGTCACAGTGAGTGGGCCGAGCCCAGAGGCAGCACTTCACATCACCGTGTTAAGGACACCTTGGCTCTCTTCTCAGTCCCTGGGTTGACCATCACCGTCTCCACAGGCTGGCCCAGAGGAAGCCTCACTGTGTTGTGTTTTGATTCATATTTCTTTGTCTTCCCTTGGCCTGAAGTGTCCTGAAGGGACTTCCTGGGGTTCTGCATTATGCCTGGAGCGCCCTTTCTTGCCAGGAGGAGAACTGACTAAAGCAGAGAGTGCAGGCACCCTCAGTCCTTGAGCTGGAAGTCGGATGGGAACATCGGCCCGGGAGCTGGACCGGGAGGGAAGTCTGTGCCCACGTGTCTGTTCTTGCTGGTGGCCCCACTGGTGCGGAGTGAGGTCTGAAGGCCACCTTCCCCAGGCCAGTCCTTTGGTCTGGAGGTCTCCTCTGGGTGTGTGTGTGCGCACGTCTTCATATCCATCCTGGCCCAGTGACGGGTTGGAGGTTTGGGGCTGTGGTTTCCTCAGCAGCCACAAGCAGAAGGTGAACGTGGGGACAGAGGAACACTGTGGTTCCCTCTCATGTAGAATCTGCTGCGGCCTCCATCCTGGGGGCTTGTCACCCTGAAGTGGTGGCCGCTGACTCAGTTTGTGGAAGCTGTGCCCCTGTGGGATGGGTGTCCCCTGGCCTCTCCCGGAGCTCGAAATCTGTCCCAAGGGGCCACCCACCCAGCCTCCCGCCTCCATCCCAAGCCGCTGGAGTCCAGCTCTCACGTAAGCTCTCCAGTGTTGAATCTTGGTGGTGTAAAGCACAAGCTGACTGCCTCACAGAGGGCTTTAGGGTGGCCTCCCCTGGTGCAGATGAGGAAACCCAAGTCCAGAGAGGTGGGACCCGCCCACCTCCCCAGCCAGCAGAGCAGAGCTGGTCTTGGCCAGGTTTCCTGCCTCCTGGAGTTGTGGACAGTCTTGTCTGTCTCCTTCATCTTGTCTGGTACTGTCCCTTGGCTGGACAGTCGGTCCTCCCTTAAAGAGGCGTCTTTTGTGCTAGTGAAGGAGGCTAGCGTCTAATTATGCTCCTCACGCTGGAAAAGGCGGGTCGTGGAGTGCCCCTCTTTTCCTGTCAATCAAGTCTCCTTCCCCAACTCGTGAACTCCCTCCCCCGTCCCGAGACCCAGCTTTTGTGCAGCGTTGGAGGGTGTTTTGTACAGTACCTCCGCCTCCCACTTCGGGTGGCCTCCCAGCCTGGCCGTTTTCCAGCCAGCCAGCAAAGCAGAGCACATGAACTACAGCGGGCGCTGCCTCCGCCCTGCAGGGGGTGTGGAGGCGAGTCAGCCTGCTTCCTATGGCTTGTTTGGACCCAGATCAGCAAAGAGAAGGGTGTCTTGCCTTTCTTCTGTCTGAATCTCCAGCCGTTTCCGGGAGAGGCTCCGTGGGATGCTTTAGTGCACACCCTGCTCTTTGCTCTCACTGGTCCGTACACCGTGCTGGTAAAATGACATCTTCAACAAAATACACATCAAACCCCACATGGCTGATAAGGCAGGAGGGGCTAGGTAATGGCTCTGAGACTTGGGCAACTACTTAGAAAAGAGCAGGTGCCCTGGAGGGAAGGCTCAGACCACCAGTCCCGTCACCCAGGGGCAGCTCTCAGGGCTGGCAAGGGCTGACTTGAGCCCTCTTCTCTCAGTCAGTCGGGGGCTGGTGACTGTCTTGCAGGCAGAATGCGGAGCTAGCCAAGCTCCGGCAGGAGCTCAGCAAGGTCAGCAAGGAGCTGGTGGAGAAGTCGGAGGCTGCCCGGCAGGAGGAGCAACAGCGGAAGACTCTGGAGGCCAAGGCAGCCACCTTTGAGAAGCAGGTCTTGCAGCTGCAGGTGAGTCGGGGTGGCAGCCACCTCAGAGCCCCATTCACCCCTCTCACCCAGCCTATCCTCAAAGCAGGGATGGGCCAGGGCTTGCCCGGCCACGCCAGGTCATCTCTTCCCAGCCATGACTGTGACAGCTGGCAGCTCCTGCAGGGCTGGGGCTGGCACCCTCGACCCTGACCTCGTTAATAATAGTGATAGCTAGCTACCATCAAATGGGTGCCTTCCATGTGCTAAGCATTATTCTAAGCGCCTTACAAGCCTTAAGTCAGCTGATTCTTATTGGAACCTGTGAGGTCAGTACTCATATTATCTGTAATTCATCCATAAGGAAACTTGCACAGAAAAGTTAAGCAACTACCCCATGTTCACACAGAGACAGGATGTGAACCCTGGGCCTAGCCCCGGAGCTGTTTGTCCTCCCATACTTGCCGCCACCTGTGGTACCACAGCTCCGCGGCCATAGCCAGCCAAGCTGACGCAGCCTCTGGCTTCAAGGCCGGGTCGGTGTTCTTCCTTTTAGCCTCTGGATGTGGCCTGGAAGCTCTTATTTTTCCGGGAGGATGCCCGTTCTCCAGAGGGTGAAGATTGTCCCCCTGTCCCCAAAGTGCACTGGGCAACATCCAGGGTGGTGTTACCCTAGGGGCTTTGCCGCCCATTGGCCTGATGACTCCTGGATCCCCCAGCTGGCCCGTTTGGGGGCAGGATGACTGGGCGTGGGGCAGTTATCACGGGTGTGGGGAGCCTTGATGTCACACCTGCTGTGCATTTAACTTTTCTGGATAACGAGGAAATCCTGGTGACCTGAAGGGCTTTGGGGCCTTTATCGGCTCAGTCATTGGAGCTAGGCTGGAGCACATGGGGCTGTGGGGCTGTCTTGTTGAAGGGACTAGAATGACAAGCACAAAATTAAGACTGATGTTTGAGTGTGTACAAGGGACTACAAGAGAATAGGGACAAATAAGCATGGTGTGGATTGTTTGGGTAGAATTGAGATGGATAATTTGGTGTTTGCTGATTTGCATATAAAGCAGACCCACCCAGACCAATGAGATCAGAACCACTGGGATGGGCCTGGCTATGACTATTTTAAAGGTTCATGGACAGTTCTCTGGCTTCTGGGGTGGAAACCTCCACTCGGGTGCCTGGGTTGTCACCATCACGTGTGCCATTTCTAAGGACCCAGCCTGGGGCCAAAGCCTGGCCTGGCTCTCACCAGTAAGCTGCAAACTCTGAGCATCTCCTACCCCCTCAGGACTTAGGGTCTTTGTCCTCAGCCTGGGGCCACACGAGAGTCCGTTCTTTCCCCTCTGACATGAAAGATTCTGGGAACAACTGACCACGGGTGGTGAGGGAGGCCAGGGTGTGTAGTTGCCTCGTTGGCCCTCATGGCATTGACAATGAGGCCCCTGGTGGCTGCTGCTGGATTTTAGAGCCTCAGTTCCCCCATTTGTAACGTGGGCTTGAGTGTAATATCTGTCTCATGGGATGGGTGGGGATTAACCATGATGACACGCACACAGAATGCTTAGAACAGTGCCTTGCACAGAAAAAGAGCTCAATAAATGTGAACTTCATAAGGTTCCACTCAGGAAATCGCCAGGTGAGCCTGGAAGTTTAGGTTACAGGAAGCATCTCTGTGTGTCATACTGAAGTGAAAATGGAGCTTTTTCTTTATTGTGACTGCCCTTCACCTGAGGCCCCTTCACTGTGAGCCCACTCTTCAGGGGCCAGGGTGGGTGTGGCCCCCTGGCCTTTTCCAGTGGATCAACTGACTTTAGAAATGCAGAAGGTTTTGTAAAGCTGGCTGGGGTAGGATGGCAGGGTGTGAAGAGCTCTCTGCTCTCCTTGACCTCAGAGCTAGGTGAGAGTCCAGTCTCCCTCCAGCAGCCTCATGGCCCTCTTCCCTTCGCGGTCCCCAGGCATCTCACAAGGAGAGTGAGGAGGCCCTGCAGAAGCGCCTGGACGAGGTCAGCCGGGAGCTCTGCCGCTCGCAGACCAGCCACGCCAGCCTGCGGGCAGATGCTGAGAAGGCCCAGGAGCAGCAGCAGCAGATGGCCGGTGAGGGCGGCGTCTCAGCTCAGAGGCTCCAGCGGTGTCTGTGCGGGGTGCGGGTCCGTGTACCATCCCTGCCCCACTGCCAGGTCGGAACCGTAAAATGGGCCAGCCCTGTTGGCAGTGAGGACAGCACTGGAGCCTAGCCCCTGCCCCTTGGGAAGTCCCAAGTCAGGGATTGCGTCCTATCAGGGGAGGGAATGGGGGCAGGGGACGGAGCCTGTGAGGGCTGGAGGTGGGGGTGGAGCCTGTGGGGGCTGGGTGTGGGGGCGGAGCCTTGGGGACTGGGCTTGGGGGCGGAGGCTGTGGGGGGCGGAGGCTGCGGGGGTAGAGCCTGTGGGGACTGCATGCGGGGGCAGAGTCTGTGAGGGCAGGGGCGGAGCCTGTGAGGACTGGAGGTGGGGGTGGAGCCTGTGAGGGCTAGGGAGGAGGGAGAGCCTGTGAGAGGTGGGGGTGGAGCCTGTAAGGAATGGGTGAAGGGGCAGAGCCTGTGAGGGCTGGGCTCGGGGACCGAGCCTGTGGGGACTGGGTGTGGGGGCAGAGCCTTGGAGACTGGGCTTGGGGGCGGAGCCTGTGGGGGGCGGAGCCTGTGGGGACTGCATGCGGGGGCAGAGCCTGTGGGGGCAGGGGCGGAGCCTGTGAGCACTGGAGGTGGGGGTGGAGCCTGTGAGGGCTAGGGAGGAGGGAGAGCCTGTGAGAGGTGGGGGTGGAGCCTGTGGGGAGTGGGGGCGGAGCCTGTGGGGAGTTGGGGCGGAGCCTTGAGGAATGGGTGAAGGGGCAGAGCCTGTGAGGGCTGGATGGGGGGGGCGGAGCCGGCGGGGGTGGGGCAGGGGTGGTGTACCTGGAGCTGTGGTTGTGGGTGAGCTAAGGGACTGCTGAGGTTGTCACTGACCTTCTCACCTGACTTCTGGATCTTTCTGGTGCTCCCAGCTCGCTCAGCCGGAGAGGCAATGTTTGGAAGGTGGGCCTATGGTCCCCATGGGCACACAGGTCGCTTTCCCAATCAGGAGAGGGTGGTGAAGTCGGGGGTACTGAGGGCCCCTGGAGAAGTTGGGCAGACAGTGACAGCTCAACAGTCGCTTGCTCACAAGAGTATTTCTTGAGGGACTGCTATGGGCTTTGCACTGTTGTGGGCACCTAGGGCTTGGCCAGGAATGAAGCAGCAGTGGCAGGGCCACGTTTTAGTAGGGGTGACAGACATAGGTAGACAGACAAACTCCAGCAGGTTTCACAGCCCTATGCTCTACAGATTTCAAATAGCCAGCATGAGCTAGAGCAGGGTTGGCAAGCTGTTTCTGTGAAGGGCCAGATAGTAAATGATTTTGGCCTTGTGGGCCAGACGGTGTCTCACAACTGCTCAGCTCTGCTACCATACAGCAGACAATATAGAAACAGACTGTTTGTGTTCCCGTAAAGCCTTGTTTACAAGTCAGGTGGTGGGCTGGGGTGGCCTGTGGGCCTAGTTTGCAGACCTCTGCTCTGAATGGTCCAGGTGTGGCTTTAGATTGGGTGGTCAGCGAGGCTGCTATGAGGCAGAGGAGATGTTTAAGCCAAGGACTGAATGACAGGAAGGGGCCGGCCTCACAGACACCAGGAAGGGGCAGAAATGGCCATCACAGGGCCCCTGAGAATGGGAATGAACTTGAACTTGACCTGTATAAGAAACAGACACACAAGGTCAGCAAGCATGACTGGAGCAAGAAGGCAGGTGCCCGGTGTGGGGCGAGGTGGGCAGAGCCCAGTGACCCTCCCTGTGAAGAGTTTGGGTGCTGTGTCATGTGATGGGAGCATTTGGAGCATTTGAGACAAGGGAATGGCATGATCCTATTTGCACTTCTGGATGCTCCAGCGCTGTGACGAGGGGAACGGGAGCTCGGGAGTGCTGGCTTCAAGTTGCCTAAGCACTTCATTTGGAAGTGGCAGGCGGCTAAGCCTGGGTTTGGGGATGAGACCAGGGCTGGGAGACTTTGCAGAGTCATAGATACATGGATCATGTTTAGAGCCATGGGATGACTTGTCTGAGGTCACTCAGGGAAAAGGACACCCCAAGAAGACTCGTGCAGTTGGTCTCAGCTAATATGAGCCAGTCTCCTAGAGAACGAATTTTTAGAAACTGCAACTGAAATCCATTTTAGATTTCTATCATTTTCCCATGAGTGATCTGAGGCATTTCATTTTGCCCTAATGTGTACTGGAGAACAGAACCAGAGTGTGACTTGGTCTCCAACAGCCAGTAAGATGCCCCATGATCAGAAGTATGTCTACAGCCCAGACACACAGAGGAGGCAGGGGAGGGAGCCCCGGTGCCGTGTGCTGAGGGGCAGCAGGGGGTGGTGGTGTCCCGCCCAGGCATTTCCTGCCCCTCACCTGCTCTTGGTCCCCTTCTCCTCAGAGCTGCACAGCAAGTTGCAGTCCTCCGAGGCGGAGGTGAAGAGCAAGTGCGAGGAGCTGAGCGGTCTCCACGGGCAGCTCCAGGAGGCCAGGGCAGAGAACTCAGAGCTCACAGAGAGAATCCGGTCCATCGAGGCCCTGCTGGAGGCGGGCCAGGCCCAGGATGCCCAGGTCAGCTGGCACCTCCCTGGGGCCGACGGGAGGGGAGGGAGAATGCCATGGAGTCCTGACCTGCTGACGTGTGGAGAGAGCAGAAAGTGAATGAGCCCCGCCCTGACTAGTTGCCGTACCAGTCAAGTCTCGTGGTGACCAAAGAACTTTCTGTCTCTTATTCCAGGCCAGCCAAGCAGAGGCCGACCAGCATCAGGCCCGGTAAGCAGAGACAGAGGGCTGCGGCCTCAGCACGGGCCAGCCCAGGACCCCGGGCCCCCGGGCTTTCAGCGGGGCACCCAGTTCCCCTGGGGAAGAGGCCCTTTCAGAGGCCCCTGCCTTTCCCCCATTCCTCCAGTGACTCTGAGGACGGGGGATAGGCCTGGGCAGAAAGCAAGGCAGCCTTGCAAATAGGTCCTTGCGTACACTCGAGGAGCAAGACTCATCTGTGTGGAGAAAGGCAGGCGCCTCAGCAGTGGGTCGGACCTTTTGCTTCCTGCTCTTGATTGGAAAGGACTAGCTGGTCGGAGGTTCTCTCCGTTTCTACAAGGCGAGGGATTTTAGGGACTGAGATCATAAATGGAATAGGAAAAATGGTTACACACCTAGAATGGAGAGCCTGGGAGGTCGCCCCAGCTTTTTGCACAGATTTGGGACATCAGTGCAGTTCAGAGCTGACTAGGTCGCAGGGTTGTCCGCGAGGTAACTTCACTGCTGGCAGACATTGTTTTCCCCCACTGTCGCCAGCCCCAGCACCAGGCCGCCCTCTGGGACTGTTTGCTGTTACTAAGGCCGGAGCCAACCCCTGGGTGGGGCAGCTCAAGTCTGGGAGCTGGAGTCCTTGGGACCCTCATCGCTGGTGTGTGCGTCCCTAAGCAGATACCCTTGGGCTTGGGAGGTGGGTCCTGGCTGCCGTGCCTAGGGCTCCACAGGGCAACCACCAGGGGGCGAGGCACGGAGGGTGTCTTCCATCCCCATGCAGATGGTCAGATGAGTCCTGGGCCATCAGCCGACAAAGTTCCCTTGTTCTGGCTGCTGCCACCACTGAGTCACCTCCCCTCTGCCTTCCCAGGCCACAGCTCATGTTCCCTGGCCTCAGGCTCCTTGGTTTGGGGGCTGGGGCAGGAAGCCAGCCACCCAGAGGGCCCAAAACACCTTGTAGAAGACCCAGAACCAAACCTTCTCTACCTTTCCCATTACACTTTTTTCCAGAAGGTTGGGCAAATTTTGTTTCTTGTGATATTTGTTGGAGTAGAGAGGTTGTGTTTGGGTTTTTGCTCTTGTATTTTAAGATCAGATTCTTAGATCACACAGCAAATTACTTACTAGGGCACTTAAGTCATGTTGCAAATAGTGTTGATTCTAATTTTTTATGTTATGCAGATGTTTGCCAGAAATTGGCTTTTTTATTACCTTCTTAGACAATTTATCTGAAAGTTGTGTCTAGGCCAGGCCATCCTGTTCTGGGGTGGAGATGAGTGATCCAGCCCCAGATGTTCTGGAACTCGGGCAGTCACCACCAAGGGGGTGTGTCTATGTGTCCTTGCCCCTGGCCTGCTGACTTCCTCCTCGGGGCCTCGTTCTTTTGGGGCCGTTTGCTGGAGGCAGGCTGTTGCATAATGCAGAGGGCTTGAGGGAAAAGCTGTGAGGGGTCCCAGTGGAGCTTTGAGGGTGGGGTCAAGGTCTTGTGGGCTTGAAACCAACATCCAAGAAGTCAACAACTGTCTTCAAGGCGGCATGCAAACTGTATTTAGAATAAAATATGAGGTAGTGCCACGGCAGGAGTCCGTTCCCAGATAGGGTGTGGGGACAGCCAGCACGCTCAGCCCACACTGAAAATGAAACGTGCAGTCCTAACGTGCATGAGAATGGTGTTTTTCAGAAAGTTTCTGAACCTGGCGCACGATAAGAAGTGCAAACATACATGTCCCTATCTGGTTGGCAGTGGCCAGCGCCCGCCTCCCCAAGGCTGATGGCAGCCCCTGTGGCAGGGACGTCCTCCAGCGGGGCTTCTTTCTTGTTTTCTGAGCTGGTCTAGTCGTGCTCATCACTTCTGGACTTTAGATTTCACATGGCTCTGGGGCCTTCCCTTTCCTCAGTCTTAATGCAGAAGATGACATAGTAAAGTGTCCTTTTGAAGGCTGTTCCTCAAGAACCTGCCCTGAACTCATCAGGAGGGAGCTTAGCCACCTCTTTAGCTCCCATCGTGCTACTCACAACTGAAAGCCCGCCTTCCTCGGGGGAGTGGGGGGCCTCCCTCCTCCTCAGGTCCCTCTAGTACTGTCAGCCTCTCACTTTCTGGGTGATGAGAGTGGGTGAGGCCCACTAGGCCCTTGAATCTGGAGAGAACCGTGACAGCATGGGACCGACATCTCACCAACCCCGTGAAATGGGTCATTTCAGGCAGATTCCTCAGAGCCCGGGTGCAGAACTGAGGGAAGCCGTTGGGTCTCAGCAGTTAGGTTTTGGACAAAGGATGGTCCCACCCTACCTAGTGGGGAGCCAGTAGTGGCCTTTTTTGAACTGATGAGGGCCATAGCGTCCAGAGGCTCAATGGGTGTGCAGGTGACAGCACCATGTGAGTCTCTAGCTCAGGTATCCTCTGAGCAGGGCTAGCCCGTGTCTTTTGAGGCCAGGTGTGACCACAGGGAAGAGCCAGCCAACATGTTCTGTGGGGACAGAGCAGGACCAGGTTGAGCAGGACCAGGTGCCACATACCAGGCAGCAGGACTCAGTTCACTAGAAGAAAAAGCATCCTGAAAATCCAACTGTCTGGGGCCCATCCCTGCACTGGCCACTGTGGCTGCCCTGACCTCTGCAGTCCCAGCAGCCAGCATCACCAAGTGGGACTCTAGTGGCCTCTGAAGTCTGCACCCTGGCCCCTGGGCTCTCTGTATGAGTGGGAGGAGGGGCTGGGGCAGCTGCTCAGGCTTCCCTGGAAGATTGTGCCCTGCGAGGTGGTTGAAAGGAACGGGAAGGGCCTGACCCCAGCCTGGCAGGTACTCCTGGCTGGGCCGGGCGCGTGGGTGGAGGATGGTACCCTCCCGACACAGGACGTGTGGGCGCTGCGGCTCCCTGGAGCCCAGCAGTGAGCCTGCTGTCTCCCTTCAGCCTCAAGGAGCTAGAGTCCCAGGTGTGGTGTCTGGAGAAGGAGGCCACGGAGCTCAAGGAAGCAGTCGAGCAGCAGAAAACGAAGAACAACGTGAGTGTTGAGGGGTGTGTGTGGGAGCTGAGTTTGAGATGGTGGGCCTGGTGTGTAAAAGCTGCCCCGAACTAGTCAGGAAGGGGCTTAGCGACCTCTTTCCATCCTATCGGCTACTCACGGCTGAAAACCCTCCTTCCTTTGAGGAACTGGGGGCCCCCCTCCCCCTCAGGTCCATCAGAAGTTCCAGGGCTGACTCCCACTGGGTCAGCTTGGGTCAAGTGCCCAAGCGTTGCATCCCCTCCACGGGGACAGAATGTGCCAACTGGCCTGGGTCATGTGATTCCCTCGGAGTGGGAGAAGAGGGTGGGGAAGCTCTTATTCTCTGTGAGGGGTGCAGAAGAGCCTCAGCTGCGTCCTCCCCACTGGTCTGCCTGCCCCCGCCCCTCACAGAGCCCGGGCTTGCCGGCTGCCTGTCTGCTGTTCCCCAAGGAACCCTCGCCTGTGCCTGGGTTGGCCAGAGCCGGCCGAGAGGTCAGGGCTTGCTGTTTGGTGGTGGGAGCCTCTCCTCTCTGAGGAGCCCGGCAGACTCTCCTCGCTGCTCCTTCAGACCAGAGTCTCCCTGAGAGGCCACCAGCATCCTTATGCCCTATGCCACGGCGCCCCGTAGCAGGCTGTGGCACCTTGGCCTGTGTTAGTGCTGCCCGAGAGAGGCCCAGTGGACATGGCCAAGAGAAAGAGCATTTTGTCCCTTTGGAAGCCCCCTGTGCAGTCTCTGCTGAGACCGACAGGCAGCTCACGGGCGCTGTGTAAGCGGCTGATCCGCCTGGATGCTGACCTTTGTCATGTCTCCCCTCCCAGGAGCTCCGAGAAAAGAACTGGAAGGCGATGGAGGCACTGGCCTCGGTGGAGAGAGGCTGTGAGGAGAAGCTGCGCTCCCTGACCCGGGCCAAGGTCAGAGTCCTGTTAGCAGCACCCGTGTGGTTTAGCAGACCACGCACACTGTGTGCAGAGCAGCCCCAGCCTGGGAGTGTCTCGGAAATCCACGCCAGGGGCTACGAGGCCGGCACACAGGCCGCTCCTGCGTCCTCCTCCTTGCCCTCCTCTCTCTCCGTCCCTTCCTTTCATTTCTCTTTAAAATTAAGGGGGAAAATGTACCTCAATTGCTTTTTTTCTGCTTGGCGCTTTGCCGTCAGGGGGCACAGGCTGAGAGGCCGGGGGAGCCGCGAGCCCGCCTGGCTGCCTGCCTCTGAGTGGGCCAAGAGGGGGCCGTCTTCGTGGACTTTTTTCCTGTTGTTTTTCTCCCCTGATGTTCTGAATGATCCTGCTGCTTTCTCAGGCCCTCTGAAATCATGGCCCAGGGGCCTCTGTGATGGATCTTGACAGTAAGTCAGAGGGGAAGGACGTCTTTAGCCCCAAGCATTTAGGCCCTGAAATCCATGTTGGTCCTGTACTCAGTGCCACCAGGTGGGGGAGTGCAGGCATCCCAGTGCCTGGGGCCCCCACATCACCCCTGGAGCCTGCACTGAGGCTCTGGCTGGGGATGTGTCCTGCAGCCGCAGCAATTGGAGGCCTCGCCCACCCACTTTCACCACACACTTCCGTCCCTGGTGACAGGCCCTGGGCAGCCAGCCCTCCTTCCCCTCCCAGCCTTGTTCATGCAGAAGGAATGTCTGTCCTGTTATCCACAGCTTTGCCATGATTTTTCTGAGCCTCCCAGGAAGCCTGAGGGTTGTACCAATTGAGGCCCCTAGACAGGCGGGAGGTGGAGGGCTGGCCCTGAGTCTTGCTGTGGCAGCTGCACTTAGACTCCCCAGAGGTGATCCTGGAGCCTGTCTGGCCTTCTCCGGAGAATGCAGAAGCTGTGACCAGAGGTGTCGCCTGACTTGTGGTCATGCAGCCAGATGAAGACAGAAGCCAGGTCCTCTGGCTCTCGCCTCAGGCTCCCATGACTGGGGAGCCTGAATGGTAGTCGGGGTCCATGGCAGGCCATGGCCATTGTCTGTGGATCACTGGGCTAGCCAAGAAGGATCCACTTCTGAGACTTGAGTCCAGACCATGTGGGTGCTGTGGTCAGGCTGGGCGTCCATTTGGCAGCCATCCTCCATATGCACGGTCCACTCGACAGCTCTAATCCAGTCGGAGTTCCTAATGCCATCCTGGGGCTCAGGCCGTGCCAAGATCATGGTAGGGCTGGCGGCAGCTCTCCTAGCTGGGGACAGGTTATTAGATAAGACTCCATTTTAGCCAGAAATCTTCTGCAGCCACCCCGCAGGGTGTGGGGAGGGGTGTTATCTGTCCCCAGGGGACACTGCTGACTAGGCTTTACTTTATAGCTCCTTCAGTCCTCCTCCGGTTCCTTTTCCATGCTTTGAGTGGGAGCCTGAACGAGGTCGGATGGGGGCTCTGGCCCAGCATGGCCATGGCGTGTGTCAGGCTTTGGGAGAGATGTGACCCCGACCGGCCCTTATCCCCACTGAGCTGGTTTCTCGCCCTGCAGAGTGGATGCTGCTCCTCCCTCCCTCCGGGGGGCCGGGCTGGCCGCTCCTAGTGGCCGGTAGCTCCCAGCTCTGGTGGCTGTTGGGAGATGTGCCTCTCCTCTGCGTCTTCCCTGGCTCCCACAGTAACTTGGGTGCCCATGCGTGCACACGTGTGCACACGCACACACGCACGTGGAGACCTGGGAAATCGAGGGCTGATGGAGCCAGAGTGCCTGCTGGGTGGTGTGGGAGAAACCTGCACCCGCCACGTGGGCCGCCCCTAGCCCCCTTCACTCAAACTGAGTTGGTTTAAAATTGACCTGGCACAGGCCCGGCTGGCCAGACCCTGCCCTGAGGTTAAACACCCCTGCCGCTGCCCACGGAGCCACCTGTCTTCTTTGATCCTTGTCCCTGAAGAGCTGAGGACGAGCCTTCTGGGGAGTGGAGACGCAGATGTCTCCATGAACACTCCCTGGGGCTTGCCTTACACCTCCAGGCTGAACAGCGCCCTCCCCCTGCCCCTCAGGAGGAGTCAGAAAGGCAGCTCAGCCTGACTGAGGCACAGACCAAGGAGGCCCTGCTGGCTCTGCTCCCTGCGCTCTCTGACTTGACACACCAGGTAGGAGGGCAGGTGGCTCCTGCAGGACCCGCTGCTAATAGGGAATGTCGCTGGGCCCACCTTGCACGTTTTTCCTGCAGAATTATGCCGAGTGGTTGCAAGAACTCAAAGAGAAAGGCCCTGAGCTTCTGCAGCAGCCGTCAGCTAACACTGAGCCTGTCTCGGTAAGCGTGGGTTGCCAGGGCTGCCCCGTCCCTGGGAAGGGAGGGTGCCCAGAGTTGCATTGGGCAGCTGGGAGAAACCTTAGTGTTCAGCTAATCAGATCCCTCTTCTGCCCTCTGCCCTCAGGACCTGGCCTCTAAGCTGAGGGAGGCTGAGGAGACCCAGAGCACCCTGCAGGCCGAGTGTGAGCAGTACCGCACCATCCTGGGGGAGACGGTAAGGCGTGAGAGGCGGGGCCTGTGGCGAGGCTCTTGGCTAGGCATCCAGCAGGGGGCTTCTGGGAAAGAGAACTTTCGGGGCCTGCAGGTGGTGGTGTGGAAAAGCCCACTGGCCCCCTGGGATTGAATGGTGGCTCTGTGACCTTGGGCAAATCACTGCCCCTCTCTGGGGCCCATTTTGGGTGGTAAAGGGGATGGATAAGGTGCTCAGATCTTCATTGCTTCTAGGCTGAGGAGAGGGCCGAATTGAAGGTTTGGGGCTGGCTCTTGGGATGGAGACGCTTGGTCATAACAAGGAACAGTCTGGGAAAGGAAGAGGGGAGCGTTTGGCTGATGGTGGGTTTAAAGCCTCTGTCTCTGTGACTCCAGAAGCAGTGCTAGGTCCAGCCCTCCCACTCTGACCGACCTTGTTCTGTGTTCCTCATCCTGGGCCACTGAGGTCGGCGCTGGTGGCAAACTCTTTCTGGTCACAGACCTCATTCCCCTGTGTGGTCCACAGCCAGTGTTCACACATTGGCCAGAAGGCCCTACACCAGGGCCATGGCCCACCCTCCTCCCTACATGACACTGCCCATGAAGAAATCAGAGCAGGGCCATGCTGGTGTCTGGGCGGCCATCATGGAGGAGCTGAGGGGACAGGAGGCGGCAGTTGTGTGTTTATGTGGGGTGGGGCCTCAGCGGAGAGGGCCCTGCCTCAGTGCCCCGTCCCCGCAGGAGGGCATGCTCAGAGACCTGCAGAAGAGTGTGGAAGAGGAGGAGCAAGTGTGGAAGGCCAAAGTGAGCGCCACGGAGGAGGAGCTCCAGAAGGTACGGGCGGCCCTCTGACTCCCTCTAGGGTCCAGCAACATGAGCATCGCTCCTGGGAGGGCCACCTTCCCTAGGAATTCAAACCGAACGTACTCGAGACAGACAGCTGGGTCAGAATTCCGTAAAATCCCGGGGGAGAGCTGATGGGATCGTGGGGGTCTCTTGGGAGACGGGAGTTCAGTCTGCTGGGTTCTGGTGACAGCATATGAAGTGTGATTGCAGAATGACAGCTAACTTCTCAGTCTTAGAGAGACACCCCCCCACCCGGCCCACCCCCGGGAAGAGGCTGCTGGGTCACGCTCAGAGTGGGCGGGCACCACTGGGCCTCCTGAGAGGTGGGGCCCGTCCTGCTCGGGGCCCAGGACAGTCTGTGAGGAGACGTGGTGCTGTGTCCCCAGACAGATCCCCCCACAGGGGCTCATGTTTGACGGGCCTTCCCCTTACCTTGTAGTCACGGGTCACAGTGAAACATCTCGAAGAGATTGTAGAGAAGCTAAAAGGAGAACTTGAAAGTTCAGATCAGGTATGTGTGGGGGGCTCTGCTCAGAGAGCTGCTTTCCTTAACGTTATTACAGAGGCTGCTGTAGTTCTTTTCCCTCGTAGACCACATGTCTTAAGAGAGGCTAAGGGATCTCATCAGGCCTGCTTTTCCTTAACGAGAGCCGCTTACAAGCTCAGAGGGGCCTGGGATGCTGTGGGCCCTGCAGAATGCCTAGCCCTGGGAAACGGCTTCAGCAGTGGCCTTCTGGATCATGGGATGTGTGCGGGGTGGCCCCCCTGCTCTCTCCAGGCATATAGTCAGCCCAGGCCTTTGAGAAGGTACCCCTGGTATCCACCTAGCAAGTCAGTCTAAAAGCTCTCCTCTCCCCGACTGCTGAGGTCTGGGAACACGTCAGGACCCGGGAGTGCTGAGGTTCGGGGTACCGTTTCCAGTGAGGTATTATGTTGCCCTGGGCTCACTTCTGCTGGCCTTAGTTTGTCCGATAGCTGATGGGCCATGGAGGTGTCCTTCGGCCCTTATCCCAGGGCCGGCCAGACTTGTCGCCCCATTGCCCTATTGCCTGAGGTTGGTGCCCTCTGCTGGCCGACTCGAGCCTCTGACACGTGCACGTGCCTGTCCAGGTTAGGGAGCACACCTCGCAACTGGAGGCAGAGCTGGAGAAGCACATGGCAGCGGCCAGCGCTGAGTGCCAGAGCTATGCCAAGGAGGTGGCAGGGGTAAGTCTGCCCAGCGGAGTTTCGGGCCTGCCCAGAGCTGCTCTTCCTCACAGCTCTCGTCAGCAGGGGTTCAAAGTCTGAGTTCTCAGGCTTCTGGCCCAGGCCTTGCACCGGCCAGCCTAAGGAGGCGTGTCACGGGGCAGATTTCCAAAAGGCAACCCTGCCGACAGGGCAGGGGTGAAGCCAGGTCAGCCTTGCAGCAAGAGAATTCTCTGTCTGCTTGGTGACACCCTTTCTGGGCAGAATGGATTTAAATCTGATACTGGTTTCTGACTGTCCGGGAGCAGAAAGCACAAACCTGGCGTCCCTGATTCTGGTTTGATCTCAGATTGTCGGCCTTATTTTGCAAGAGACAATCGGAAACATTTGCAAAGGCCCAGGACCAGGTGTGTAGTGATAAGGTCCTTCCGCAGCCTCAGCAAGCAAGGGCAGCTGTGGGCAGCCCTGCGCCTGCGTGCCACCCTGCCCTATGACGCCCTCATTGGTGGGCTCCGCGGGTGTGCAGGGCTTTGCAGGGGTGTGCAGGTGCCGACTCACAGGAGCTCGTTTTCTGCTCTCTCCTTTTTCCCTTCCCCTGGGTCTGTGTCTCTCCAAGTTGAGGCAGCTTTTACTAGAATCGCAGTCTCAGCTGGATGCAGCCAAGAGTGAAGCCCAGAAACAAAGCGATGAGCTCGCCCTGGTGAGTGAACCGGGTGTGGGGCAGGGGTGAGCGCCAGTGGTTATGCGCGTGGGAGACCAACGTCCAATCGGGCTTGTAAGTCCCATCAAACGTAAGCGGCGTGGTGGGGGATGTGCACCGAGCTACTGTGCGGGCAGCCTTTCTCGGGCCTGCTGGGGCCTCCTTGCCTGTTTGCCCAAACCCCCGAGCTGGGCCTGTGGCTGCTGGGACCACCGTGCTCACGCTCTGCTTCCCGCCTGCCTGGGTGCAGTCTGGCCCCCAGTCAAGGCATGGGAGCTCAGGGCTGGGACCTCTGGGTGTTTGACGCCCTGTGAGCCCAGTGTCACCTGAGGCCCCTCTGGGCTTGAGCACCTGTCCGCCCTCTGGCTCTCAGCACATGCCTCGCCCTTGGTGGAACTCAGGTTTCTTCTCCCCTTAGCGGTGGCTCACACCAATCCAGCGAAATCCCCAGGCTTGCCGGGGGGCCTGCTCCACGCCCGGCGGTACCCGGTGCCCGTTCACAGATGTGCAGAGCTCCCTGGCCGTGCGGGTGGCCTCTGGGTCCGCCGGGTTTTCAGCCTTGGCGTCTGAGCCGGTCCTCGCTCCTCGGCAGGGTCAGCGCAGCCTTACAGAGGCAGGCGCCACCGTCCCAGCGCCAGCTTCGGGGCTGGGGCTGCAAGCAGGAGCCCGTAAGGTCACAGCCGTGTTCTGTTTGATCTGCACGTTTTTTTTTTTTTTTACATCTTGAATTCATTGTCAACATTTAGAAATTGGGAGCTTTTGAGTACAAATGTACACGTCTGGTTTTCTGCGAGGAGACCCGAGGTCTGGTCCACGGGGATGACATTCCCACAGCAGCCGCACACCGTCTCCGTGGGGGACCCCCCTACTGGTCATTCGGGCCTTACCTAGGACTGTCGCAGTGGAGGGTGGGGACTGCCCAGGCCAAGTCACCACCTGAGCCCAAGGGCCACTCACGGAAGCCGTTGCCGAAGCCGGGTCTAGGGGACAGGCAGAGGCAGCGGGCCCAGGCCAGGGGCACGTGCGGAGGAAACACCCCTGCGTTTCTCATCGTCGCTGGACTGCACAGTTTGGCCTCCACCTTGGGGGGCTCTTGGGAAGGAGGAAGTGTGGGGGTAGGGTCCTCGGAGCAGGACCTTTTGCGTGGGGGCTGAGACCACGTGCGTTCCCTGGGGAGCTCATGCCAAGGGTCCCTCCAGACTCCCTGACTGGAAGCTTTCCCTGAACTTCATGGGGACGTTGCTGCCTCCAGATTTGAGGCTCCGTGGTCTGCAGAATCGAGGGAGACCAGTTGTGTCACTTGCCCCCAGCAGTGGAGCTCAGGGGTGGGTGTACCTTATTAGGCAAGAGGGACATCTCGTAATCTTTTTTAAACCCTGGAAAGGGCTCTGAACTGCATCTTGAAGGAGGAAGCCGGGGCAGAGGTGTGTTGTCTGTGCCGAGCCCGTCGGTGCCCCCACTTCCTCTTGGCTCCCTTAATGCGGTGTGCGCTGCGTCCGTCAGGGCCGCCCGCTCCTGGGAGGGCTCTGTGCCGGCTGGCCTGGGAGCAGCACATGGGTCTCCATGTGGGGCCAGCCTGGGCCCCTCGTTGGCCCCTAGGCCTCAGTTTGGCTCAGGGGAGGGGTCGTGGCGCTGGCCCCCTGCCCCAGTGAACCTGCACAGGAACTCTGACACAGGTCACAGCTACCAAACCAGGTGCCCCTTAGAGGCTCCGGGTGCTGAGAGTCTCAGCGGTCCTCCCGAGGGGTCTGTGTGTGTGCATGCGTGCGAGGCGGGCGTGCACCTGGCAGTGTATGTGCACAAACCCACCCCTCCCTGTTTCAGGTCAGGCAGCAGTTGAGTGAGATGAAGAGCCACGTAGAGGATGGTGACGTGGCTGGGTCCCGGGCTGCCCCCTCAGAGGCCCCCCCAGCAGAGCAGGACCCCGTCGAGGTTAGGGCGGTGAGCTGGGCCCCAGATGTCTGTCACTAACCGCCCCATGGGTCCCCTGCACCCCCGTCAGAGCGCAGGGACGGCAGGACTGTACTGAATGGACACCAGTACTTGCAGCCTCCACGGCCCACCCTCCCCACCTCGCTCTGCTCACGTGCCCAGGCAGCAGTCACCCAGGTTCTGAGGAAGCCACAGAGCAGAGGAATGGGCAGGGAAGGTGGCCAGGCAGGGAGGTGCCGGGCTTGATGCTGATAACGTGTGCGAGAGGGGCTGGAAGAGGGATGCAGGGCAGCCAGGCCTGCGATTAGGGCTCTGATCCCCCGCTGTGGCCCTTGCTGGGACGTCACTAGCAGGGCGCCTGCCCTCTAGATGTTTAACCCAGTAACTGCTGCCGAGAGCCCTCTCCAGGAGGCAGGGGCCTGTTGCCAGAGGAGCAGTGGTGTGGCTGCTGGGTGGGGAAGCCGCTGTGGGGCCAGGCGGGGCTTGCACGGTGGCTCTGAGGCACCTTGTCCTGTGGGTCTCGCTAACAGTGCCCGAGGTTAGCAGAGGTCCCGTCAGCATCTCTCTTCAGCCACCCGGGGGCTGAGGCACCGTCTCCCCGAAATGGGGCTCTGGAAACGACTCATTTGGCTGGCCGGTGGGCAGACAGAGGCCAACCCTGCTAGCAGAGGCAGGGAAGGGCTGGGGGAGCACTAGAAGCAACTAGAAGGTCGAGCCCCCAGGTCTCAGCCTGCCCAGAAGCCCCGGCTCCCAAGAGGGTCCTTCACCAGGTTCTCACAGTGTTTGCGGTGTTTCCACACAGCTGAAAACACAGTTGGAGCGGACAGAAGCCATCCTGGAGGACGAGCAGACACAGCGGCAGAGGCTCATGGCCGAGTTCGAGGAGGTCAGGCCCTGCCATGCGGCCCTAAGGCATCAGCTTTTGGGCCACAAGTGTCAGGCCTTCTGTGTGTCAGGAACGGTGGGAGGTGGGCGCAGGTCTGTGGGTGGGCCGAGCCTCATCCCTCCCCATGGGGTGTGGCTGCGTGGTCGGTCCCCTGCCACCTGTCCACAGGCTTGAACTGTTGTCCTGTCATGCTGGGTGCCCTCCCGTCCCCAAGCAGGCTTGTCGGGTTTGAGAGACGTCTGGCGCAGCCCCCCTCCTCTGACCCCGCTGCCCCCTTTCTGCCAAGGCCCAGAGCTCGGCGTCTCGGCTACAGGAAGAGCTGGAGAAGCTCCGCAGCGCCGGCCCCCTCGAGGCTTCAGAAGCAGAGGAGGCCACAGAGCTGAAGGTAGTGGGTGGGGCTGCTGCAGGGTCCAGAGCAGGGCTGGGAGGGGAGAGCCAACGCCACTGATTGTCAGCTCCTGGGGTGGGGGTGGGAGTGGGAGAGGAGTCATCCAGAGGCCCCTCGAGCAGGGTCCAGCCTGATTTGGTGGGGGGAGGTCCCTAAACGTCTAGTGTCACTTACAGCAGCCACTAGTCAATGTAGCTATTTAAATTTAAATATTAAAATTGAAGTTCAGTTCCTTAGTCACTCTAGCCACGGCAAGTGCTCAGCAGTCCATGCGTGTGTCCAGTGCTGTGTTGAACAGTGTGCATGAGAATGGCCCCAGTGTCACAGGAAGCTCGCCGGGCAGCGCTGGTAGACGGGACACAGACAACTGTAATGCAGGCTGTTGGCTCCCCGCCGTCTCTGCCTGTCTCTGGATGACGAGGATACAGCATCCTCACACCCTCAGGGCCTCCCAGGGCGTCAGGTCCCATGGGCATAGCCAGGTGGCCTTCCTGCTGCGTGTCATGTGAACGCTGATCCCCTTCGACCCTCTGACCCACAGGAGAGACTAGAAAAAGAGAAGAAGTTAACAAGTGACCTGGGCCGCGCTGCCACCAAGCTACAGGAGCTTTTAAAGACAACCCAAGAGCAGCTAGCAAAGGAGAAAGACACAGTGAAGAAGCTGCAGGAGCAGCTGGATGAAACAGTGAGTGTCTGGCCAGGCCAGCACCACTGGCCTTAGCTCAGCCCCACTGGGGGTGGGCCCTGCCCCACAGCAGGGTGGGCTGGGAGTCAGGGCTGGGCGTGATTCTAGGAGCCCCAGGACTCCTGGGGGAGGGAGGGGGTGGGGACAGAGACTTCTGAAAGCAGGCATGGGCACGCAGCCTGCCAGGCCCAGCCCCCACCCTCCTGCCACTCCCCTCGGTGGGCAGCATGTCTCTGACCCCCACTGCCAGCCCAGGTCCTCACTCTGTAGCCTGCGGGTCCAGGCCCCTCGCTCTCCTCTGCATCCTGCCTGAGGGTCTCCTCCAGCCCCAGGAGTCAGCTCTGGGTCTCCAGACGTGCTGGGCTGGCTGTGCTCTGAAGGGAGTGGAGTGGTGTGGGGGTGTTATCCAGGGGACTGGAGGTCCCTGGGAGTTTGGGGTAACTGCTCCCCTTGGCTCCTTGACCCCAGCCTCTTCCTCCCCCTGCCCACTTTGTTCGCAGGACAGTAGCAGCTCAAAAGAGGGCACCTCTGTCTGAGTCGTCTCTGTGGAAAAGAAGTTACCGTTCAACTTACCAAAATGCCTTACACATTCCTTACGAATAAATAAACCAACCGACACAGCGTTATCCAGGCCCAACTTCCAGTAGGTCGGAGAAGCCATTAGAGACGAGAGTCTCTTAGAACCACAGAAATAGATCTTCCAGACCCCCAGTTTGTAAAAGAACCTTTGTCACATTCGATAAACACTATTCCCCAGGACCAGCCCTGGCCCACCGCCGAGCAGACGCCAAAGCCCTTATGGGCTCTGTGACAGACCCCAGGGTGTGTGCTGGGGAGGCCGGACCCTCGAGGTATCTGTATGGCAATCAGTGCAGTTGTTTTGTTGTTCAGGGGTGGGGTCGGGAGGCGGGCAGACGGGGGGTGAGTGTAAGGCTGTGGAGCAGACTGGAGGGTCCCAGCCCAGCCAGGCGGCAGCCCCTCAGCCAGAGCCGATGTGTGACCTCCTGGATGTTAATGCCATTAAAACCAACACTGTCGCCCGGCGCTGCCGTCTCATCTGGTCTTCTGCTGGGACGCCCCACCTGGCGGCCGGGCCAGGATGAGGAACGAAGAGGGGCTGGCTCCCTGGGGAGAGAACAAGTGTGCTTCTTGGTTTCTTTGAAGTCAGGGGAACAGCAGCTCTGTCTAGAGTGGGGGTGAAACTCATTGCTTCCTGGTTCCCCCCATGCATTTCTCACCATGCCAGCGCAGCCCCACTGCCCACCTAACAGGATGAGGGAGCAGGGCCTCTGATCCCTGGTGGCTAGATGCACTGGCCACAGTCCCCATCCTTGAGGATCTGAGGTGACCTGAGCAGAGCTGTGGGTGGCCTAGGCTGTTGTGTGAAGTGAGCTCTGTGAATGAACAAGGGGGTCTCTGTCTTTCTGGCTGGAGCTTGGACAAACATCCACGCTTCAAGACGGGTGGGCCAGGGCCCAGGCAGCCCACTGCCTGCCCTCTGGAAGCAGGGTCACTGGTGGAAGCCAGCTGAGGCTTTCCGTGATTCTCAGACCCACCGTGCCCTCGGTGACCCAAGACCATGGTTCAGGAGAATCTGGGGCCAGGAGGTGTATCAGGGGCACTGTAAGCAATAGGAACCTGGACCTTAAGCAAAAATGGATTCAGAGGCTGAGTCACAGGAGTTGAGCCCACCCAGGAATGGAAGGTGAGTCTGAGCAGCCCCTGGGTCTTGGTGGCAGGCATTAACCAATCCTGTCAAGGGGCTGCCTCAACCCAGCACTCATCCACTTCCATCTCCCTCCCAAGCCTCAGAATCCTGGGAGAGGGGGTCTGATTGGCTGAACTTGGCTTGAGGAAGGCTGAGCACTTTGATAGCAGGTCCAGCCAGCCAGAGGGGAGGATGATGCTTCCAAAGAAAGGCCGCCCAAGAACGGGAGTCTCTGTCACCTGCTTTGGGACCTTTGCATCTCATGCACCGTTTTAGGTGGTGGGTTTGACTCCTCTCGGGGGTAGTTGTCGTGGGAACGTCAAGATCTAGGGAACCAGCATTGTGCGTGTGTGTCCTCTAGCCTCCTTCCGCCCCCACACAGGCACCTGCTAGGGGTCGGGCAGTGCTGACCTCAGTGTGCACCACCCAGAACTGGTCCCGGCTTTCAGGGAGCGCCTGGTGTGCGGGCCACCTAAGCATGCTATGTGGCACTTGTGTGTTGCCACTGTCTGTCTTGGGATCAGGGTGCTGGAAATTCTGAGAAGACTCCCCATAGATGTGAGCTTAAGCTGGACTTCACCAGAGCAGGAGAGGGGAGGGTCAAGACTGAGGGGACGGGGGTGCAGAGGTGCAGACGTGGGGACTGGAGGAGGGCAAGCAGGCATTGTGAAGCGGGTTGCCAAGAACAAGGGATCTGGACGTGGAAGGCAGGAAGCACTGAGGTTTTAAGCAAGGGGAGATTATTGTACCTGTTCTAGAACTCTGGAGGGGGCTGAAGTGGAGCGGGAGCCATGGGACTTGGGACGTGGATGCCATGGTTTCTTGCCGGGAGACTGAGGAGGAAGTAACCAGTAACACCTGACACCTGCCACGTGACCAGTCCCGTGCTTGGTTCTCACGGGAAGTCTCAGTCCCCCGGTGAGGTGAACCGCGCCCACATTTTGCAAAGAATCCCCAGGGAAGTGAAGGGTAGGTCACCTGGTGGAAGGCAGGGCAAGTTTCTAACACTTGGCAGTGCTTCAGGCAGCCTGGGGGGGGCCAGTTGGAGGGAAAGAGTTCAGTTTTGGAGTGTATGTCCCCATAAACAGCGGCCCCCGAGCCTTGTGAACCTGTGGCCCGTGACTGTACCTCCTGGGTGCCCTGTGCATCAGGAGCAGGGGCTCAACGCTGGAGGGCTGGCCCTGTGGGAGGGGAGTTACAGCTCATCCTCCCACACACACGGGCTTCATGCATGGTCAGTGGTTTGGGGCCCTAGTGAGTTTCCTGGTGGGAAAGAGGCCAGACATGTGCCCTGCACTGGGACTCCTGCATCAGCATCACCACCTGGGGCCTGGGAGCCTGCGTTTCCAATAACCTCCCCTCCCCCTGCCACACTGCAGAATTGTGAACCCCTGTGCTGGGCAGGTACCCTCTGAGGGCCCAGGAATGGGGGCACCTGGAGGAAAGGCACGAGACCCTGGGGGTACCAAGCGGCTGCCTTTGGGCTCTACAGGACCATGGCTGCTCCATCCTTAGACCAGCTGGTGGGGCCGCTGTCTACCTGTGGGGAGGAGGTGAGACAAGGGCAGGCACAGGGCAGGGTGTGCGGCCCCATGGGGATGAGCTGGGGCTCGGGAAGATGCCACTTGGGAGGCCTCGCTCCTGCAGCTCAAGCTCTAAGGGCCCATCAGTCCTCACCACCATCCCCAGCAAGAGCTGAGCAGCCGAGGCCCAGCAGTGGCATCTCCCAGGCCGGCAGAGGGAGCCCAAGTCTACCAGGCAGCATGCCGGGCCTTACGTCAGCCTGGCCTTGTCACCACCGCTGCTCCTGGGCAAGGTTCCATCATCAGACTAGGGAAGACCCTTCAGGAAGATACCAGAGGCAACCGCCCTGGGCAGATTCTAGGACAAGAGGCTGACAAGCCCCCCCTGGGTTCCTCCACATGGTACAGACAACCTGGGGCCCTGGCTCACTGGCTTGGCCGATCACAGTCCCTGTCCTGCAAATGTCACGATGCCCCTGCGCCACTGGAGAGCTTGTGGTTGCCTGGAATGACGTTCACTGAGGAGGCAGGAATCAATCACCCAGGCTGGGCTAGAGCCCTTACTAGAAGGCCCTGGTCAGCCTGCCAACAGGAACCACTGCTCCCCTAGGCCTGGCTTCAGAGGCGGGAGCCTGGGCTTGGTGCCACTGCTGCATCTCACACCACCAAGAGCGGGGAGGGTGAGTTCTGAGAACACCTAATCTAAACTACTCCCTTTAGAGACTCCTGGAATTGACCTGAAGCTCCAGGGTCACACGGCCCATAAACGGTACCTCCAGGCCTGGAAGCCCCAGGGTGCCACTGGCAGCTTTTCTGACAAGCTTCCCCTGGTTATCTCTGCTGCGTGATATTTAATAAAATGCACAAACACCAAGATGTCTGGCCTGTAGGCAGAGATTTTTAGAAACCTCTAGACACGCTCCATAAACCCCTTCTCTCTGAGCTTCCTTCAGGTTTGGGTCTCATAGGACTCAAAGACGAAAAGAACTGTATTGTTTTCCTTCCTGCCTGCCCCAGTTCAAGCCTCAGCCCTGGCACTGAACAAGATCTAACCTTAGAATTCCAGATGTTAGAAATGAAGAACTCTTCAAGGGTGCAATGGGAATAGAATACAACCAACCAGAAAACAAGAGACCCCAGGCGTTGTCCCAGTTTTGCTGCCTATGAGCTGTGTCACCATAGGCAAGTTGCTCCACCTCTCTGGGCTGGCTACTGAGGGCACTGGCTACAGGCTTGGTAACTCCTTTCCCCACTGCCCTTCTGAAACTGGGCAGAGCCCAACGAGTCATGGCCAGCCAAACACGGCTCAAAGTACCTAGCTCCTTCCCAAAAATCCTGACTCCTGGAACTTCCCCCTCTCCCAGCCACAACAAAATTAATGACCCTTTTTCCAGCTGCAGCCCAGCTGGAACTCAGTCTGGAGACTGTTAGCATATTTCAGAAATGCCCCAAATCATAAGGAAGTGATGTGTCCTTGGGCATATCCAGTCTCTGACAGTCCAAAGGGCAATGAACCAGTCAAGAAACAGAAGCTGCACTTCCTGTGTGTGGACCAGCCAGCACTCTGGGCAGTTCTGCAAAAAGAAAACCACTCATCTAAGCCTGATTCTATTATTCAAGGCACGGTGTTCACTGTTTTCTCAGAGGTTAACATTCTCTGAAATAAACTTCACAGTCAAGCTCTGAATGCCTGTTAGCAGTGGCTCTGCTTCTTTCTAGATGAACCCTACAACAGCTTCCCACAAACACACTTCTGTAACGTATTAACACTGGTAGAAATGTCAGCGTGCTGGAGGCAGAGCAGACCTGCAGTTTTCTGCCTCATCACTGTCAGCAGAGATCTCAAACTCTCATTTTGCATCAGAATTACCTGGAGTGCTCCTAAGCAGGATTCTTGGGCCCCAACCTCAGGAATCCAATAGGACTTTCTCTCAAAGTTCCCCTAGGTAGAGACACAACTATTAGCATCTTCCCAATTTCTGGAGTGAAAGTGGAGTGGGAGGAGATGTTTACATTCTGTTACATCCCTGTACACTGTCTGAAATCCCCCCATAGGCACCTCCCCCCGACACACGCGTGCAAATGCACACACACTTGCGTGGACTGGTGGTTATACAAGTCCTGCCACACGTCACGAGCTGAGACCACGGAAAAGACTTTCTCCTAAAACCCCTTGACCCAATACCTGGCTCTGTCTACATGGCTGATTCTTGAGTAGGTCAACCTTGGGCCCGCGACGCTTCTCAGGTGGCCTGTGAACGTACACAGTTATGAAATACACTGCTTTGCAGTAGAGAAAACAAATTCAAGGTGAAAGAATGACAAGCAGCTTATCAGTAAACCAGAAGCCAGCACTATTTTCTAGACAATTTTGAAAGAAGTATTTTGATTAAAGCATAAGCTTTTTTGCCTCCCAAATAAATCACAGAGCAGATAAAAGCCTGGCATTTAGATCAACATTTGGAATAGGAAAAAGATTCCCAACTTTTACACTGACTTCTTCATTCAATCAGAGGAGGAGGGAGCTGTGACCTTAACTCTAAGTGTCCAAAATACCCAAACCTCCTCCACGACTTAGCCCAGATGGAAGGCAAAATCCTTTATCCCCAATTCACACGTGAATAATTACACGAGAGATAAGTTAAAAACGCTTCCTTTATTACATAAAGCCAATACCGCTGCTTCTAAGTTCAACTGTTCGTGCATCTCTACAAAGTGTGATGCCTGTGATGTGAAAGACGATCACTTCCAAGTGTCGTCAGGTGGTGGCTTCCTGTGGGTGTCATCCGTCATACCTGCTCCCAATTTCACACACAGTCGACAAACCGCTCTAGGAAATTACGCTCTCCCAGGCCCCAGAGTAAACATAATGTTCTTCCGCACCTCATATTGCACCAGAAGCAACAAAGTTCTGAAGGAGACACAATTAAAGATATCACAGGTGTCCCAGCTTGTCAATACACTGATTTATCATTTTCATTAAAGTGTATCACAATGGAGCCCTAATTTGCATTATAATTAGTTGTTACAAGATACTGCACATTCTCCTGAGGACACACCACGATTTCCAAGATGCAGGGTCACTCTCAGAACAGTCTCCCACTAGCGAGTGGAGAGCTTGCTGCAGGAGCAGGGAGCTGCTCCCTGCTCCCACACTGCGTGCTGGAAACTGCTCTGCAAGGTCGGCGCGGACGAGAGGCGTACACCACAGCGCGGCAGTCTCCACGACACATCTGGTGAGTCAGGAGACTGCCTGACTTCAGCTTACCGTAGTTAGTATATTAGTGCTGTTCTGTGTTGTGAGCAGAAGTATTTTCCATTATTCAGTTTAGCTCAAGAGAGTATAAAGGATTTGGGCTAAAATTATAACCAGATTGTTACCAATTCTCTAAGCAAAAGAAACAAAGTAACTGCTGAGGTTAACAAGATGCAATAATTCTCTTCATGTGGCCTTGTACTGCTCTGTGAACTGCATTATTAAAAATCATTAGCTTAATCTTTACAAGCCAACTCATCAAAACAGGCATTTGGCCAATAAAAATTTAATTTCACATCAATAAAACTTTAGATTTTAGATTTATTTAGGGCCTTTTGCACATGTTTACAGAATGTTTACTCTAACAGGTGACAAGACAGTTCCCCCTCAGTGAGACCCTGGCCTAAACATATCTGCTTTACTTATATAGCAAGAGGATAACATTAAACATGGAAGCTTTCAATTTGTGGCACTGAATGACGATCTACACAGGGCATCCCTCAAAAGCTACAATTAAGGATCCACCTAGCTTTTCAGCAATACAAGCCCGGTTGAGGTCTTCTGGCCCATTTGCTTGACATTCGTGTTTTATGCCTAGGAAGGAAAAACAACAATCTTATTTAGAATTATGGCAGTAGCTTACCTATTTCCCCAAGATAAACTGCTTTAAAAGACTAGCTCTAATATGGATAGATAAGCTTGGTATACACAAACAACAGACTACTACATAGTAATGAGAATAAATAATCTGTAACTACATGCATCAAAATGAATGGCTTTCACGAACATAAGAAGCCAGACATAAAAGCATACATTCCAGATGATTCCATTTGTATAACACAAAATCAGCCAAAGACAGTTTATTAGAAGCCAGGGTATTGGTTACCCTGTGGGGGAAGGAGTAAGAGGAAGCGGTGTGACTGAAGGGGGCACGACTGAGACTTCTGGGGTGCTGGTCACAAACGCAAGAAACAACCATTATGTTCGGTTTGTGAAAATTCATTGAGTTCTACAATAACTTATGATTTATGCTTTTCTCTAGATACCTTGTACTTCAATAAAAAGTTACAAAGCAGGTCTAGTAGTCATTTTTCTTGGTTTTTAAAGTAGAAGTAAAAATATGAATTCAATGTTTTGATTGCACAGCTGATTTATTCAACTGTATTGAAGAGTAAGAATATTTACAAATGGTATTGCTTTTGCTCTAGAAAACAGTTAGCTCTCCACTGATACTATACTATACACTTAAGAAATCTATCACAATGAAAACTACATAAAATGTTTTACTGACTGCTTTCTCAGAATTACATCACCACACTGCAGAATAAGCTCAATTACAGAATTATATACAGTGGCTTCTCTGTAAACAGCTGTTACCTTTTAAACAGCTGCACTGTTTCTGATTTTCCATAATTTTAAGACCATTTCTTGAGCTGCTGAAAGCACAGCAGGTCAGCTTTTAGGCCACTGAGGACTGATTAGAGAAAGCCAGTGCAAGTTTCACTAGGAAAAAAGGCAACAAGGTGACGGTCTTGAATATCACCAGATCAAGTCTACGTAGCAATTCCCTTTACTGAAAGCCAACGCAGAATAAGGATGATAAGAAATCCACTCTGAATCTTCTTCAATTGCATTGGGGAAGTGTGAAGCTAAGGAGTCATGTTAAAACATGTTAACCAACTGGTGAACACAATTCTGGGGAACGGCCCAACATGACATCAAACACATGTAGAACCTGACAAGGCCTGAACTATGCAGCAGCAGGTTTCAGGAAAGGAAGCAAGAATTTTGTTTTCTTGTAAAACAAGCTAGGGCAAACCTGTTCAACTACAAGAATATAAAAATCAGTCACAGTAAAACAAACAGAAAATGAAAGCCACACTGGGCCAAGCCCTTGTGACCTTGGCTCGCCCAGCTGTTTGGAGCTAGCCATGGCAGGAAGGTAGTGGGGCAACCTCTGAGACTGAGCTCCCACGATCCAGACCAAGCCTCCCCCTCTACAGCTGAGAGAATCAAGGCCCAAGGAGGTTAAGCAGTTGGGCCAAAGACACACAGCAGTTAGACGAGAAGCTTAGCCCTCCGTGCAGGCCTTTGGGCACGTGCCCCATGCTCTTTCCATCATACCAACATTGCCTCCTTGCTGGAGACAGTAAGTATGGTCAGGCCATCTCAGCAGGATCCCAATCACCTAGTGGCAAGTCAAACATAACTGGCCAGCTCAAGGAGTGAGGGTACTTTCCTTTCGACACATATGACTCAATTACCTAAAATCATACCATTCCAAAGTAAAGCTAGAGATAAGAGTATCCCTTCTCATTTATGAACATTTCCTTTTTGCAATTCTGTTATATCAACTACATTCAAAGGCAACAGCAAATTTATTATTTAATATGACCAGTGTAAACCAATTCGTCTCCACCTGCTATGTGAGAAACTTGGCAGCATCTCAAACTATTTAAAATGAGCCTGAATGAGTGATATGCTCACAATGTGGGGAAAACAGGGTTATTAAACATGGGCAATTCAGACCCAGAGTGACCAGCACAAGGCGGAAGACACGCTGAAAGCCAGGTTCAACCTTCCGGGTTTTTTCTCGAAACACACAGTGCTTCCCTTCTTTATGGCCAAGGCTCTCCGAAGAAAATAAGGTGCTTCTCAGAAAAGATGTGGCCTCCATTCCAGGGGCTCATCACACCTCTAAATGTTTGGGAGTAAATCTAGACCATACCTTGAAATTTCTTTTTGATTGCATCCTTGGAGCTCGCATAGATCATTTTACTTTTCAGAGGTGCTAATTCTGGTGCCCTGGATAGAGATGGCAAAAACAAAAAAAACTGATTCACAGAAAGCACAATTTACATTGTGTTAAACATTTGCATCAGTGATGGGGGAGGGCCCTCAGAATCTCCTGAGTTTTTCTAACTACAGAATTTTTTTTATTGCCCACTCCTCCTTGGAGAGAAACTATTATGGATGGGCAAACACAGAATCGCTCAGCCTGACCAAGGTGAAAAAAAAGTAGAACCACTCATTAAAGATCAGATTATCCAACAATGAATAATTCACTGTATTATCCAATTCATTTTCTTTAAAATTTTTTTTCCATTTTTATCAATAAAAGGCTTGAGTTCAGGCTAATAAGTTTTTTTTTTTTTTTTTTGGTGAGGAAGATCAGCCCTGAGCTAATATCTGTTGCCAATTCTCCTCTTTTTGCTGAGAAAGACTGGCCCTTGACTAACATCTGTACCCATCTTCCTCTACTTTATATGGGACGCCGCCACAGCATGGCTTGACAAGTGGTGCATGGGTCTGTGCCTGAGATCCGAACCTGTGAACCCCGGGCCACCCAAGTGGAGCATGTGAACTTAACCACTACACCACTGGGCCAGCCCAATAACCATTTTTATACAAGGCTTTTTTTAACACTTTCTAGTTGGAAAAAAGTTTCAACATACAGAAAAATATAGAGAATAATCTGTAAATCAAGTATTTGCCACCTGGAATTAAGAAACGTTAGCAATTTTAGCATTTTTGCTTCAGATTATTTTCTAAAAAAGAATATATTACAAAATAAAAGTCCCCTTTTTACCCACCCCCAGTCCCTTCATTTACATCTATCCAATAGCAAATTCTGAGCACATGAGTACTTGTTTTCCATCTTAGTCTAACATTATAAAACACGTCACAAGCTTTTCTTTTTTTTTAAGCTTAATGGCATTTCAGCAATAATTATGTCTCAATTTACAATATTACTATTATCTTGTATTTACAAAATTTTTAGTGGCTCCCTCCTCTTGAATGAATACTGGAAGCATAGCATATGCTTCACCACTTTCTTCATCAGCAATATTGAAAAATAACAGAAATATTAACAATAAACAGACAAATCTCTTCCTTCTCAAACTGCTCATCTATGAATGCATTATTTACCACTATACTGCCAAACCCAGGCCCGCCTCCCCACTCCACACTACCCAGGTACCAAAGGGTAAATGGAGTGTAGTTAAACCCTTTTAAGCACTTAATGATTCCTTTTAGCTGCCATACATCCAGGACATGCAATAGTCATCAACACCACGGGGTGGCATGAACCTCACCTAGCCCACTCCTCCCACAAGGGGCATGGATTCTGTTCTTGGGAACCAGGAAAAAGACAGTCCCTATGTCTCTCAGATGTTTATTCCTCCCAATTCTAAGGTCTAGGAGGGGAGACAAAGCCGCGACAATAACCTGAGGTGTGCAGATGCCTGCCCTGCAGAGTGAAGTGGGTACTTTTGCAAAATAGGCCAGGGACAGGCAGCGCAGTAGCTGCTCTGACTTGACTCTAACCAGATATTTAAAACACTTTAAGTAAGAGCCCTTCCCTGTGCCCTAAACAGAGCCTGTTAAGGACAACTCCTATAACAAGGTTTTACCTTTTCTTAAAAAAAATAATAGTGCAAAATAAAACACTGCACTAACACTGCATTTCCTTTCCTTCTTTCTACTTTTACTTTCCAAACGTTCTTTAATAAGGATGTATCATTTGCACAGTAAGCTGCCCCAATACATGCCCTCCTGACCTCGTATTTGCATTCCTCACAGCATCGTGGTTTAATCAAGTGCAACAAAAGCTTGCAGAAATGGAACTGAGGTGTGGTCTAGAGTTACATTCCTTTGAACCAGAATTCTTTTGACTTCCTAGCCCCACATCTCAAAGCTGTTGGTGGCACACAGCTAAAAGCTAAGCCCCTCCTTACCTTGCCCTGGCTCAGGTCAAAGTATCAAGAGGACTCTCACTCCCCCAAAATCAGAGGCTGTTACCAATTCCCCCTCCCCTTAGAAGCTAGAGAATATTCTCACTACGTAAGAATTCCATATCAAGGAATATAGTATAATACAATCAAATGAGGGAATGAGGTGTGACTTTTAACTCAAGCTTAATCTCAAATATTAACTTACTTGAAAAGACCAGAATAACTAATTTATACAGCCTTTCAAGAAAAAGGCCATCTAAATCACTTTACGGCACTTTTCACCATTTAGAGCAATGCTGTCCAATAGAGCTTTCTGCCACGATGGAAAGAAATGTTCTACATCTGTATTACATGATAAGCTAGCCACTAATCAGGTAGCCACTAATCACATGTGGTTACTGAGCATTTAAAATGTAGTAATTCAACTAAGAAACTAAATTTTAAATTTTATTTAATTGTTTTAGTAGCCACAAGTGGCCAGTGGCTACCCTACTGGACAGTGTGAACGTAGAACATATTACAGTTGAGGGAATGATAGTACCAACTTCAAAAGTAGCAAACCACAGAGGCACAAGTAAAGGACGGGTGTTTAAAAGGAGGCGGGGTTCCTGGCGTGGCATGTAGGAGAACTTTGGTAAGGTAAACTTTCTTCTCAGTATTGTAGGAAGAATTTTTAGAGAAATTTTGGCTTCTAAGGAGTGAGTTCAGAGGATACACAGAAATCTACCTCCTGCCTCTTCTCCCATCAAAAATTAACTACTGAAAGTGATGTTCTTCCAAGCAGACAAAGAGTGGTTAAAATTTCGTTTTGGTCCCACAAACATGAGTCCAGCTAAGATCTTATTAAACTCTGTAAATAAAAATTAAATGACAATGATTGCAGATAGTTTGATTGAAAATTACTTTGGTCCCAGGAACTGGTTCTCCCAGTGCTAAGCTAACAAGAGATTAACTCTTGAGTTTTACAGAGGCTCAACACTTCTAATGATGCTTACCACAAGAAAAACATCAACTCCTCTTTTCTGGATTCCTTGGTTTCAAAGCTTGCATCATACAAAGCATAGCGACAATCTTTTTCAGGAAGCATTCCCACAAAATGCTTGAAAGGATCAGTTATGGTTACACCAACATCTCCAACCAAGATCTCTTTGCCTTCTTCTACAATGATGCACTTTTTGTCTGCACTGAGACAAAAAATAACAGCCTTCTTTCTTTTCTTGATTTCTTCTGGTGTGGAGCACTTCCGAACTTTCATGTCATAAAATATGCGACATACTTCATCAGCAACTTGCACTCCTGAGGCCTATAATGAGGAAAAAAATCAGAAAGAGGCTTACAACTTTTATTGTCCAAATATAAAATACTATGTTGTAACTTTTGGCTATAGACTAGCATACACTTAAAATTTTTAAGGCATACTTATCCAGTAGGAAAACTAGAAAATCTGAGCTGCGATCACTAATTTCAGTCACTGAACTTTTTAAAAGATTACATACATAAGCCATTCATCACTATTATGTGGGAGTAAGGAAAGCTATACAGCCCCTCCTACCCTAAAACCTGGAAAAGAAGTGCTTCCTGAGGTGCTGGATTATCTTCTTCTTATAGAAAGGTTCTTCAGAGCCCTAAGTGGGGGGTACAGTCATCTCCCCAGTTAACGGGGTATTAATAATACCCAATATTCTTTTCATAATGCATTACAGATGGTCAGAGTGGCAGAGTTGGGAAAATTCCATTCCTACAGCATCTCTTTCTCTAATAAAAGAAGAATTAAAAGTTCTTTGTAGGCCGGCCCCGTTGCTTAGCAGTTAAGTGCGCTCGCTCCGCTACTGGTGGCCCGGGTTCAGATCCCGGGCGCGCACTGACACACGGCTTCTCCAGCCATGCTGAGGCCGCGTCCCACATACAGCAACTAGAAGGATGTGCAACTACGACATACAACTATCTACTGGGGCTTTGGGGGAAAAAAAGGAGGAGGATTGGCAATAGATGTTAGCTCAGGGCCCGTCTTCCTCAGCAAAAAGAGGAGGATTAGCATGGATGTTAGCT